ATTTTACATAGGCAATTAAGTGTCTGCCACACATCATCTTTAAACAAACTTTCTAATGCGACTTTTAAGATTTTCTTCAATAGAAAGTATTAGGACATTTCCTTATTTATATCAAGTTCCCAAACCCATGTATTCCTTTCTGTTTTTTTTTTTTTATTCCTTTCTGAACAAAGAATTTCTGTGTCTCAGAAATGCATCATTTCTGTATATAGAAATTCAAAAAAGAAATATGGAATCTCATTTTTCAGTTGTCACATTGTGTAACTATACATCCCAGTTTTACCAGAACCGTGAAATTCCATGCATTTTATCTAACTGTAAATTAAATATTCTTAAACAACAATGATGTTCATTCTCAAAAGTGTCTTACTTCTTTAAAAAAATAGATAATAAAAATTGCCTTTAAGGAAGTTTTGAATTTAGCAAACACAACTTCAAAGTAGTTACTATAAATATGTTCAAAGAACTAGAGGAAATCATATTTAAAGAATTAAAGGAAAGTACAATGACAACAATTCACTGAATTAAGAACATCAATAAAAAGATACAGATCATAAAAAAGAATCAAGTGAGATGCTAGAATTGAAAAATATAATAATAGAAATAAAATGTTCACTAGAGGGGCTTGAGAATAGATTTGAGCTGACAGAAAAAGAATGTGTGAACTCAAAGATAGAGTCATACAGATAAAACAATTTCAAGAATAGAAAGAAAAGAAAATGAGAAAAATAAAGAGTCTCAGAAAAACATGGGCTATGAGAAAGTACATGAACATATGAATAATGGGACTACTAGAAGGAGAAGAATAAGAACAGAAACAAATATTTGAAGAAACAATGTTTGAAAGCTTCCCAAATTTGATTTAAAAATTAATTTACACAACTAAGAAGTTCAATAAACTCTAAATAGGATAAAACCAAAGACATCACATCCACAACTAGGCATATTATAGTCAAAATGTTAAAATGCAAAGCAAAGAGAAAATCTTGAAAGCAGCAAAAGAAAATAATTCATCATGTACAAGCGAATTCCAGTAATATTCATAACTGACTTCTAATCAAAAAACGGAAACCAGAGGGAAGTATGATAACATATTCAAACTACTTACAAGAAAAAGATAAAGAAAAAAAAGCTGTCAAGCAAGAATCCTACCTGTAGCAAACCCCCTTCCAAAACTGAGAAAGCAAGATAATTCCAGATAAACAAAGACTAAAAGAATTTGTTGCTAGCAGAACTACCTTGCAAGAAATACTAACTGAAGTTCTTCAAACAGAAAAGAAGTGACACTGGGCGGCCCTGGTGGCTCAGCGGTTTAGCGCCGCCTTCAGCCTAGGGTGTGATCCTGGAGACCTGGGATCAAGTCCCACATCGGGCTTCCTGCATGGAGCCTACTTCTCCTTCTGCCTGTGTCTCTGCCTCTCTCTGGTCTCTTATGAATAAATAAATAAAATCTAAAAAAAAAAAAAATTGGAGAAAGAAATGAAGTGACATTATACTGTAATCTGAATCCACATGAAAAGAATAGAGTGCCACTAAAGACAATTATATAGCAAATACAAAAGATAGCAAAATTACATTCTTCTCTTTTCTTCTCTTATTTTTTAAAAAACAACAGCAGAAAATAATACCTATAAAATTGAATATGGGGATTTATAGCTTATATAAGTTTATATAAATTTTAATTTTAGAGCTTATAACACAGAGATATATATTTAACAACAGCAACGCAAGTGAGGAAAGAAGGAAACCATAGTGGAGCAAGTGTTCTATATCTCACTGGAATTAAGTTAGTATACATCTCAAATATATTCTGATCAATTAAGATATGTATTGCAATTCTTGGAGCAACTACTTAGAAAAATAACTCAAAAATATACTTAAAAATCAATAAAGGAATCATTTTTTAAGATTTTGTTCATTTATTCATGACAGACACAGAGAGAGAAAGTCAGAGACACAGGCAGAGGGAGAAGCAGGCTCCATGCAGGGAGCCTGATGTGGGACTCGATCCTGGGTCTCCAGGGTCACGCCCCTGGCTTACGGGGGCGCTAAACCGCTGAACCACCGGGGCTGCCCTCAATAAAGGAATTAAAATCGTACGTTAGAAAATACCTGCTTAATCCAGAAGACGACATTTAAATAACAAAACAAAAAGAGACACAAGACTAGAGAATAAATAGTAAAACTACAGACATAAATTCAAATACATTAGTAATAATGTTAAATGTGAATGGGATAAACAACCAACTCAAAAGGCAGAGATTGTCAGCTTTGACTTTGGATAATAAATTTTGATCCAACTAAATATGTCATTAACAAGTAAAAATTCACATTGGGATACAATTCTAATAATATATTAGGAGTTTCTCCAGGACAATTCTAAGGAATTTTGCCACAAATTGGTATCAGTTAAAAGCTTCTGAGTTACCTTTTTGCACACAGAGTTGAGGAACTGAAAGACCAGAGTACTGAATGTGTCTCTGATAAGGAGAGTGAATTACCAAGATAATCACAGAAGTTGAGGTAGAAAAAAAGACTGTGAGCCTGGTGCCAAAATCTCTATAAATAAGAATAGTGTTTATGAAATTGAGGTGACAAAGGCTAAGAAGAGAGCGCAGTAGAGCCTGGTCTTTTGAGCCCCTGAAGTTAATGTCTATTATCTACTAGCTATTACATTAGGCATTCAGGTAAATACAGAAAAATAAAACATATTCCCTGGCCATAAAATACAATGGGATAGACAGTTTTATAAAGAGATAAATGCAATACAATGTTACATTAAACTCTGGGATTAAAGCAAGAGAAAGAATCATTGATCTGGGGACACAGTGATAAAGAATGACTTTAGTAGGAAAGATAACGGAAAAGCTCTTTTTCTAACTTGGGATTAATTCATTATGACATTTTATCATTTGAAGCAGTGGGTAGCAGGGGTCCAGGTGCTAAGAAAGCTGTAAAAACTATATATATTAAAAAAAAAAACTGTAGTTATTTAGTCAAGGGTGAAATATAATGGAGGCTGGGGCTAAGTAGTAATCTCCAGCCCTAGTTTTGACAAATGGGGACACAAGTGATCTCATATAAGTGGCAGAAGAATTCAACAGTTGGGCAGGGCTGGCCAGAAAGACCAAGATATTAGCAAATATTTGAAAATCCAGGCAGTTATGTCTAGGAAAAATAGGATTAGGGGCACTGACAAAGAAGAGCCCCAATCCCAGCTGGGGACTGGTCTAATTGGTAGATAGCTGGAAAAGGAACTTCATATTAAAAACCAAAACTAAAGGACTTTTTTGTAAATCTTTCCCCAGAATGCTCATTATCTGCACAGTAGCTGGACCCCATTTGCAGTTTTAACATCCACTGATGATTCTAGTCTGAATCAATTCTTAATACTGGAATTGCAAAATCATGATAATTTGGCTTTAATTTCAAGTTCCTTAAATACCCAGGGGAGCTAAAGCTATTGTCAAAATGAAAAAGATACCTGAAAATGTTAAATGTAAGAGGAATTTGTGAATATAATCCATTATAATTGCCTTTAAGAAATTCCTGTTTAATATATTATGAAGATTTGTATTCTTTTTTTAAAGATTTATTTATTTTGAGAGACAAAAAAGCATGAGCACACATGAGAGTGCACTGGGGGGAGGGGCAGAGGGAGGAGGAGGAAGAAAGAGAGAGACAGAGAGAGAGAGAGAGAGAGAGACTCTCAAGTAGACTCTGTCCCTGGAGCCCAACACGCGGCTTGATTTTACAACCTGAGCTAAAACCAAGAATCAGATGCTAAACCGACTATACCACCCAGGCGCCCCTAAAATGCATTTTCTAGGCTGAGTTATATATTATTAAATTAATATCAAAATGATAAAAATTCCACTTGGACCATATAATTTATCTTCTAAATCAAGATACTTTTGAAGGTAGAATTTGATGCTATCAACAAGTACCCAAGGACAAGAGCTATAAACTGGCAAAGTCCTGGGGACCTGAATTAGCTTCTCTACACTCTACCTCAACTTCTCACTCACATGACCACACGCTGAACATGTTCAACAACCAAAACTGCTCCACCCTTAGAAACCCATTCCCGGGGGATCCCTGGGTGGCTCAGCGGTTTAGCGCCTGCCTTTGGCCCAGGGCTCAATCCTGGAGCCCCGGGATCGAGTCCCGCGTCGGGCTCCCTGCATGGAGCCTGCTTCTCCTTCCTCCTGTGTCTCTCTGTCTATCATAAATAAACAAATCTTTAAAAAAAAAAAAAAGAAAGAAACCCATTCTCTAATAAAACAGTGTTTCCTTCTGTCCTTCCAGCTTGCCATAACTACTAACTATTCTTGATCCTCACCGTTGACTTGCTAAAGCCTCCCTCTTGTCTTTATTTCTCCTCCTGACCAGCTTAGATTTTACAGCCTATCAAGTCAATCACACTTGCCAAAATACCAAAGTCCCTTGACTCTTGTTCTTTTCTCACCCTCCTGGCAAAACCCCAATCCTGGATGAATTGAACCATTTACCTTCTTTGTTTCTGCATGAAGACTACTGAGCTGCTACAGGAAAATGATACATTTTAACAGTCCAAGTTCACAATCACCAAGTTCAAATGGGTTTCAACATTGCCTGGCAGTCTTCCTTCAGCCTGGCTTCCGCTAACTGAAGCTGGTCTTACCAACATCACCATTAATCTTGATAATGATAACACTGCTAGTCATAATGATCACCTTCTGGTCTTTTTAGTGCCTTCCAAAAATATTTAAAATAGTTTTTTTTTTTTATTCTCTGTCCTTGGCTTTCATGACATCTTGAGCTACTTCTCCCTTAAGATTTAGTCCAAAACACTCTTCTCATTCTTTTTTTTTTTCCATGAAGTCTTTTTATCTAGCATATTATAAATTTTATGTATCTCTTGTTATTGACTCTCATCTCTTCTAAGAACATAAACTCCATGATGTCAGAGACTCTTTTTTTATTTTTTTATTTTTATTTTTTTGGTCTGTCTGGCTTACCTTTGCAATCTCATTGCCCTCTAGTCTGTGCATACTAGGGCCTCAGTCAATATTTTTTTGAGTGAATCTGTAAGTGAATAGCATTCTCAATAAATATTCATCAGATGAACATCTGCCATAGTAGCAATTTTTTTTATTATTAAACTACCAGCTTACCGTATTAATTATATGAAAGCTAGACAGTTAAAATCCACATGTACTCCTAGGGCATTAAATGCTTGCTTGAGCAAATTTCCTTTTTTTGGCCTTCTGACTTAGTCTATTTGCTGAGCCTAATTAAGCAAGGGTATCTCCTTTCAGGCTTAAACTACTACTTCAGTGTCATTAACTTTCCAAATTTATTTATCTTTAGCCTCATGCCTATTCCTTATTTGCATTTGTATTTCCAAAAACTTACTATATATTTTCATTTTGATATCATCATTATTTATACTTCAAAATCAACATTTAGAAACTCAAATTTACTCAAACTCTCACATTGACCTCAAATAAAAATAGACACATGCTGAAACTGTTTTTCTTTTAGTATTATTGTTTATAATGCTGATTATTTGCTTCACTGGCTACTCAGATGACCAACCTAGAAACAATGGAGTCTCCCTTATTTCTTTCCATTTCATATTTCCTTTATGCAATTGATCCCCATGTGCTGCTGATTTTACCTGATTTTGTCTCACACAAATCTTTCCTTTTCCATGCTTTCAAGTCTTTGATTAGAGTTGTTATGTTAGAGTTTGTTAATGCAAAACCTTCCTAATTGGTCTCCCAATTGGCTTCCAAATATTCAATTCATTCTTTGTATCATTGCCAACTTTACAATTCCAAACGGCTCCATACCCTTCAAGGAAAATGTTCAAATGCTTCATAAAATACTTTAACCTTTAGATTAGAAACGGAGTTTGTAGAATTAATCTTATTCTCTCCTGGGAATCACTCCATTTATGGTAAACTATATCCACATTGAGTGGATAAACCCTTGGAATAAGTTAGCCTAAAATGGAGCAGTTTTACTACTAATCCTTAGAGGTTGGTAAGAAATCCCAGTTTTAGGAATGAGATGGGGGCTTTTTGGAAAAAGGGGTAAGGAAGAAATAAGACATAGTCAAAACATATTATAACACACGTGAGGAACTGAAATCACTTATAAATATATTAAATATTTTTAGGTACAGCAGTCCCCTCTTATCCACAGGGGAAACGTTCCAAGACCCCTGTTGGTTGCCTGACACCAAAGACAGTATTGAACCCTGTATATAATATACCGCACCTTTTCCTCCTCTATTATAAGAATAATAAAGTTAAATTCATAAATCAGTCACAGAGATTAACAATAAAATAGAACAATTATACCCTAACGATAGTTACATAAATCTTGCTCTTTCAAAGTATCTTACTCTATTGTACTCACCTTCGTGATGACGCAAGATGATAAAACGCCTACGTGACATGATGACAATGACGTAGCAGCTGTGACGTAGAGTTAGGCTACTATTGGCCTGCTGATTGTCATGAGGGGGAATCCTCAGCTTCCCCGCAGCAGGTGACCCCGCAGATAACTGAAACTGCGGGAAGCGAAGCTACAGATAAGGGCGGACTAGGACTACTGTATATAAAGATGACCTCGGGGCCTTCAAGTTTCCTTTGGGAGGGGCGTGAAGTAAGAAGAGAAGAAACGGGGATCCCTGGGTGGCGCAGCGGTTTGGCGCCTGCCTTTGGCTCAGGGCGTGATCCTGGAGACCCAGGATCGAATCCCACGTCGGGCTCCCGGTGCATGGAGCCTGCTTCTCCCTCTGCCTGTGTCTCTGCCTCTCTCTCTCTCTCTCTCTCTCTCTCTGACTATCATAAATAAAAAATAATAAAAAAAAAAAAAGAAGAGAAGAAACGAAGATGTCGCTAGAGTGTCCTTTTCTGTCTGAGACTGTAATCGTAGTGACAAACCCCTGGGAGACGAACTCACGTCTTCACGGGAGCATCCCCCCATTTCTAATACACCAGCTTGCCTGGGACTAGCATCTTTAAGGAGGGAGTACTCTGAAGCCCATTCAGGGGGATGAACCAAAAAGGAAATTACAAGTTTCTGTTACCCTTATCAGTCACTTTACGGTTTTCACTTCCAATAGATTAATTTTTAGCTTCTTACAAGCTGAAGGAGCCTGCAGAACAAATATTATGTCCATATTATACACAAGGCAATTACAGCCCCTAAAATTGGAGTGATGTGGCCAGGGTCACAAAGCTAGACAAAAATTCATTTACTCTTCTTGCTATTAGCATATGAGGTAGTTACCAGGTCTGAACTTTCTTTTTTTTTTTTTTTTCCAGGTCTGAACTTTAAAAACACGGTGGGATTCATCAGAATCTATTTTAGTGACATCTTTAAATGAAAAAGTTGTGACTTGGTCTGGAACCCAGGGTTCATTCTTTCTTAGTACGTATGACATCATTCTGAAAGACCACGAAAAAATTCAATTTAATCTGATAATTTCTCTTTATATTATTTTCTCATTGTACCTTTATTTCTATACTTTCGTTTCATCATGAGCCCCAAAGGATAATGATTAGATAATATTCATCTTTTTCTTCCTGATACTGTATTTCTGTCATTCAGGCAGAAAGGGCTCAATAAATATTTATTAAATAGTTGAAATTCACATGCAGGAAAAAATATCTGATGCCTAAATACTGTTGATTTTCCTCCTGTCCCTAACCTCAGCATTATTTTCTTTTTTTGTCTGCTATTTCCTATAAAAACCTAATGATGACCAGGCAGGGAGATTTCCTTTATCGTTAGCTATGAATCTTATCTTTCTTAAACGCCAGGTCGGCAAACAATCTGATGACAGTGTATTAATCTTAATATTTCTTTTACAAATGTGAGAAATATTCAGAGCAAGAAATACACATAATCAGAGGTTATAAATTCTAGCCAATAAGCATTCATTTGGGGGAGTAAAAAAGATGTGGAAGAATTAGACAGACTAATAGGAAAAACACAAATAAATAGCATATGGGTAATAAGAAAATAAGACTCCTTTCTGCAGCTGTGAACCGCAGACTAAGAATAAAAGATAGCAGTATTTTGCAATATAATTCTAACAAGGAACGTTTTAAAAAAATCTGTAAATGGGGGATCCCTGGGTGGCACAGCGGTTTGGTGCCTGCCTTTGGCCCAGGGCGCGATCCTGGAGACCCGGGATCGAATCCCACGTCGGGCTCCCGGTGCATGGAGCCTGCTTCTCCCTCTGCCTGTGTCTCTGCCTCTCCCTCTCTCTCTCTGTGACTATCATAAATAAAAATAAAATTAAAAAAAAATCTGTAAATGGGATGTCTCGGTGGCCCAGTGGTTGAGCATCTGCCTTCATCCCAGGCAGAATCGAGTCCCACGTCGGGTTCCCTGCACGGAGCCTGCTTCTCCCTCTGCCTGTGTCTCTGCCTCTCTCTGTGTCTCTCATGAATAAATAAATAAAATCTTAAAAAAAAAAAATCTGTGAACAGCAAAATGTACTTATTTTGTGGCAAAGGTGTCAGTTTCAAAAACAAAGGTGTACTTGGGCTTTCCTTGTTTTTAGTGAATTAAGACGTTCTCTCCTCCCCTTTAGCCATGATCATTCTTCTCTTCCAGGCTCGAGGCAAAGATCATCTGCTGACGCGAGACACCATTTTCGAGGCAGATTTCGGCCTGGTCCACGACGTGGAATCGGACACTTGATGGGGGATCCGTGGGTGGCTCAGCGGCTTGGCGCCTGCCTTTGGCCCGGGGCGTGATCCTGGGGTCCCGGGATCGAGTCCCGCGTCGGGCTCCCTGCATGGAGCCTGCTTCTCCCTCTGCCTGCGTCTCTGCCTCTCTCTCTCTATCATGAATAAATGAAAAAAAAATCTTAAAACTTAAGTGTGCATCTCCCTTCGTTTTAGCCTCTTATCGCGTGAATTGTGGCGTCAATCGCTTAATTTTTAAGCATCAGGTCTTCGTTATTTATCTATTTATCTATTTATTTTTTTATTTACTTTTAAGCTACTAAAAAGGGAGGAGATGAGGGCCCAGCCGCTCCCTCCGTCCTCCGGGGCGGGGACCCGTCCGGGTGCTGCTCGGTGACGTCCGGACCCTGGCGGCTGCGGCTCCGCCTCTGGGGACCGGCTGCCCCGGGCGCAGGGCCCTGCCCCTCCCCCCGCGGTCCCCCCCCCTCCCTCGGCTCCAGGCCTGGGCCCCCGGGGGGCGGGGCTCCGGGTCACGTGGCGGGTCAGGTGACCGCCCGGCGCGCCCTCCCCCTGCTCCGCGCGCGCCCGGCCGCCCCGCCGCCCGCAGCCCCCGCACGTGGCGCCGCCGCCGCCGCCTCCGCCTCCGCCCCGCTCGGCCCGACCTCGCCGCCCGCAGCCATGGCGCCCGGCCAGCTCGGTGAGCGCCCCGCAGCCCTGCGCGCCCGCGCCGAGCCCCGCCCGCGGCGCCCCGAGCCCGCCATGGCGGCCCGGCAGGTGCCTGACCCGGGGGAGGCCCGGGACCCGGGAGGGAGGAGGGAGGCGGGGCGGGGGGTGGGGAGGCCGGGTCCCTGGCGGCTGCCCTCCGGGCCGACCCCCTCCGGGCCGACCCCCTCCGGGCCGACCCCCCTCCGGGCCGACCCCCGTCCGCAGCCCGCCAGCCCGGGCCCCTGAGGACTTCCCGCCCTGCGCCGCGCCGCGGCTGACGGGGAAGCGTCTTCCTTTGCAGCCCTGTTCAGCGTCTCTGACAAAACGGGCCTGGTGGAATTTGCCAGAAACCTCACTTCTGTGGGTCTGAGCCTCCTCGCCTCTGGAGGGACCGCGAAAGCTCTCCGGGACGCCGGGCTGGCGGTCAGGTAAGGCGCCCCTCGGGCTCCGCGCCAGGTGCGTGGGGACGCCGCCCGCCCCGCCCCGCCCCGCCGCCCCGCGGCCGCAGGACCCCGCGCCCCGCCCGCCCCGCCCCGCCCCGCCGTCGGCCCGCCCCCGCCGTCGGCCCGCGCTGCAGCTCCCGGGGCGAGGTCTGGGGTTGCGGCGCCCGCTTCCTAGGGCGGATTAATGTGGGCGGAGGGAAGGCCCCCAGCGCCACCCCTCCCGAGGTGCTCGCGGCCTGTCCTCCTGGCCCTGCCGCCAAGCCGCCGACGTGCTTACGGTCCCGGGAACACCCTTCCCGGCTCTCCAGGACCCGAAGAGCACCGGTCCGCCTGGGGTTCCCTCATCCACAAGCTGTTCGTTACCAGGCCAGGCGACGGGAAGAAGGAAGGAAGGAGCGAAAGGGCGATGGGGCCGCCATCCCGCACCCCCAGAGCTGAGCTGGCCTCCCGGCCGGGAGAGGGAGTGCCTACCTACTCGGGGTGCAAAACCGAAAAGGCCCAGGGGCCGACCGCTGTGAGGAACGGCAGGGACACCAGCAGGAGGACATACGTGCCCACTCCTGAAACACGTTGTAGAGCGGGAGTGAGAGATCTGTGTGCTGCTGTTGCCACTGACGCGTTTTTGCCGCTTGCCCTCTAGGTCAGATGATTACCTCTTTAACCTAGAATCCTGCCTTCTGTGGGCAGTCCGCAGCTCTTCCTGGATCTGTCGAGTTCGCGTGGCGAGGATGCCTAACTGTATTTATTAAACGAATGCTGTAGAGCCTCCAGAGTTTTTTGGTGTCAGCTCTCTGATGTTCGCCCAAGAGCCATGTGAGAATCCTGAAAGACAGGTCAGCCTTTTCTGAAGAGCAGCAGGGCGAGGATCCGAAAACTCTAGACTGTTCTTTCTTTTGGAGCATGCTGGATGCTCTTGTAGTTGGACCCTCCAAATTAAGCCGCTCTTCTACAGCCCTTTTTTTTCCTCCACCGAACTGAACTATATAAGAGAAACATTTCAGACCTAATCAAAAGTAGAAGAATGTAATGAGCCCTCCTGTTGCATTTCCATCCCCCAGTTTAAAGACTTAACAGCTCTTGAGTCTAGTCTGATCTGTGCTTCTACCCATTCCTCGCTTACGCATTATAGTTACCTGTTTCTTTTTTTTTTTTTTAATTTTTATTTATTTATGATAGGCACACAGAGAGAGAGAGGCAGAGACACAGGCAGAGGGAGAAGCAGGCTCCATGCACCAGGGAGCCTGACGTGGGATTCGATCCCGGGTCTCCAGGATCGCGCCCTGGGCCAAAGGCAGGCGCCAAACCGCTGCGCCACGCGGGGATCCCCTAGTTACGTGTTTCTTAAAAACTGGGAATGTAAACGTATTCCTCTCCCATTAAAGTGTGAGACTGTTCCCAGGTCATCATTACACACACACATGCACACTCATGTTACCCTTGTTACAACTTTTCAGTGTAGGTAGTGTTATAAATAAGGAAATTAATGGATAAGGAAACTGAGGCACAAAGAGGGTAGATAACTTTCCCAAGTTCATACAGCCAGCGCAGCTAGTAAAACCACAGAACCAAGATTTTATCCAAGGAAGTTAACCTGGAGGTGTGAGGTGAACTGATGGGATTTTAATTGCTGACTGTTCAGCCGTGAGCTTGCAGAGGATTGTTGGAAGACCGCACCTGTTGCCTGTTGCGTGCAAATTCTGAAATCTAAAGGAGCAACAAACTTTTTGATTACCCCACATGGTTTTGCATTCTAAAAATAGATCTGTCTTCTCTATTTTTAGCAGTAATCCCCAGTTGGAGAAACTGGATTTTATTTCCTGGATGCCAGGAAAGGGAATTTTGAATTGGATGCCATAATATTGCCAGCTTTTAGTTGATGTTGAAAATACTGTGAGCCCTTGGTCAGATACTAGTCATCTGCAAATGCTTCTTAATAGGAGACTCTACCCAGGAAATTCTATATCCTGTTGGAATTTGCTGCTTTAAATTTTTTTTTTTTTACTACAATGGTAGTTGTAGAAAATTTGAAAAATGTAGAAAATTATAAAGAAGGTAGTAAATAGCTTATAATCCTGTTTAACATGTTGATATGCTTCCTTCCAGTCTTTTAATATTTAATTTATAGCTCATACAGAAGATAGTTTTGCTTCTTGATTTCGTTCGCCTAACATACTGTTGACATTTTTCGTGTCATTAAAATTTGCTTGTAAATCAGGCTACGGTTGCACAGTTCATGCCAGTTTGGTGATCTGAATCAATAAGTTTTGTTTTGCATTCGACCCGTTGTCATATTTTACAATTTTTTCCCCAACTTATTTTTTTCTGTATAAAACTTTTAACATTTTGTATAGACATCTAGTATTTTGTTTTTTGAGGTTTTTTTTGTTTGTTTTTAGATTTTATTTCTTTATTCATGAGAGACACACACAGAGAGAGAGAGGCAGAGACACAGGCAGAGGGAGAAGCAGGCTCCATGGAGGGAGCCTGATGTGGGATTCGATCCTGGAACTCCAGGATCAAGCCCTGGGCCAAAAGCAGGCACTAAGCCGCTGCTGTGCCACCCAGGGATCCCGACATCTAGTATTTTGTTTAATGATTTGAGCATATTTTATATTGAATTTTGGTAGTTCTTTGATTTTTTTTTTTTAATACTCAAACCTTTGATTCATTGGGAATTTATTTTTATGTGGGCTAAACCAGTATTATTCCAATACTAACACCACCTTACTAAAACATAAAACAGTCTTTTATTTCTCCACTCATTTGATTTGCTGTGTTTATGTTCGTATCATCATAAAGCTAAATTTTTGTTTTTACTTCAGTCTCTTCCTGAGATCTATTTTTAGTGTCTTTTGTATATATTGTAAAATTACTTCTCAGCTGAATGGATGGCTTATGATTCAGTTTCTGAATTCTGAACATTGAGGCTCTGAAAAATCCCCCAAATGAGAACAAAAGATGTAATGTTGGAAGATGCTTTAGAATAGTGTAATAAAATGTTAGTTCAGCAGGAACAGTAATATTCTGTTCATCTGTTTTCAGAGATGTCTCTGAGCTCACAGGATTTCCTGAAATGTTAGGGGGACGTGTGAAAACCTTGCATCCTGCAGTCCATGCTGGTAAGTGATTGGTGCCTTCATTTAAAACAGTCACTGGTCTTCAGGAATATTTTGGTTGATTACTTTGTAGAATAAATGAGGAAGAAGGCAGGTCATAAACTCAGAAGATTATCTGTGAGTCTATATTGGTTTTGTCACATTTGCTGCCAACGTTCATAATATGTTAGAACCTGTTTAAAATCTAGTTTGCTTAAAAAAAAAAATCTAGTTTGCTTTATTATGTGATGGATTCACATGGTTTTCCTCTGCTTGCTATTAGTCCTGACCTGATAACTAATTTAGAGTGATACTTTCTGCTGGAGCTAA